AAGCCATCCTGTGTAGCTCGTTGGGTCACAGAGGTGCACAAGCCATCACACCACATCAAGTTGTAGTCTCGTAGTCTCGATCGCACTAGGAATCATATGTTGAGCATATTGCACGTGAAATTTGTCATTGGTAAGGGAATGGATAGCAATAAAACTAATGAGTTGCTAGTTCTTAATCTGTTAACATACTTATCTCTTAGGGTCGTGTGAACTTCACTGGTCCAAGTCCCCTCCTTTACGCTAACAGTCCATAGCACCCCAGACATTGCTATCTTGCAGTCCGCACTTTGTTGTGCAAAAGGGATGTGCTAGTGAAGAAAAGCTATGGACGCTAGGAACATCTGTTGTAATAAACTTTTAGGAAACTATGATTATTGTAAGACAGGTTTAACTCTTCCGATGAACCAGAAGAAATAAAATACTAAGTAGAAAACTTCATAAAATTCCAGTTATCCCAGAATCCTAGCGCAATCTATGGTAGAAATGATTACGTTGGAGTTTCGTACATCGCAAATCGTTTTATATGCTACACCAAGCAAGCGAACGGTAAAATACTCGGCAGATTGAGCACAGTATTAACAAGCACAACTCAGAAATGTGCAATTATCTATTGAGGATTTCAACAGATTGTTCTTTAAAGTGACTAGAAAACAATCATCACAGTATTTACAGAAAGTCGTTTTACTGAAAAGATAAATTCATTAAAAGCAACTTGTTCTCAAAGGGGAATCCGAACTGAAATCATTCAACAGTTGCCCTCCATTGGCATTCAAAGTGGATTGGACCGCGTTAAGCAACTGACCAATCATTTGACGCTGCTGCCGTAAATGAGGAGCGTGAGCAGGCCAGCGACAGACTGGGCAATCAAGTGCACCAGTATCTAGCCAACGGCGAATACAGGCCTCGTGAAAACCGTGACCACAAGGTAAAGCACCCAGACGAACCCCTGGTCGGAATACCCGCCAACAAACAACACACTCCTCACATGGTATTACCCACGGTGGCCATTCCATTGTAGGTCGAGCATGTGATTTACTCTCAGAAGACGACTCGCGACTGGAATTAACACCTTCTCTGATACTATTATCACTAGAACTACTTTCTCGTACATGTAGCTGCGACATCCGGAATCGACGTCTGTGACAGCGTAACCGGCGGGCCAGTGACTGTCGCGGAGCACTACGTTGTTGTTCAAAAACAATCTCATCTTCATCCTCTGCTTCATACTCAGCTTCAGGAATAGGAATGGTCGCTGGAAGCGTACCGCACGTATTCATGCTCTCAAAGGTAAAACGTCGCGGTGGCTGAGACTTCCTGGGTGTTACCGACGGAATGGATATAGATTCTGTCTTCAAATTTGTGCTCATTTCAGCATGAGGGGAGCACTGCCATGTATAGATATGCGCTGGGGCAGCCCTGAGATTTGGCCGAAATTCGCCTTGTTCTTGCTGCTCAAAAGCATCTTCTGGATGAGCAACGGAGTTGGTTGGGAGATAGTGTGAACCTTCATGGAGTAGTGAATGAAGTCGACCCAATCGACGCAGTAGCCGTGTCTGTTCGATATTTTGCCCCATGTGAGAGGCATGCGTAGAGTGGTTTGTGTTTGACAACGAGCCTTGTGTGATCACTTCTGCAGGATCAAGTTCTGATAGACTTGAACTGCTGGTAACGCTCGTGCTCGAAGCGGTATGTTCCACTTGGGGCTCCAAATCAGAGATTAATAAGGATCGTGTAAGTTGATTAAGTAACTCGTCCGGAGATGCACGACTGAGTCGGCGGGAAGATAAAAAGGATACCGCTCTCTGGCGGGAACGAGCAAACGGTTTCACACCTAAAAGGACGAAATAGACATGGGCCGCAGAGACAAGGACGGTCAAATAATATAAAATAACAACAACAAAAAATTGAAGCCAACAAAAGTGCCCTTCGACGATAGATACACGAAGAGATACTACAGGCGGCAAGAGAACGAAGGTTCGCAAAACCCACAATGATAAATTCAGGAAACATGCGGCCTGGGACAAGCTCAATGCATTGATCACAGGAAGAACAGTGAGCAAAAAGAATAAGTTGTGGGAAAAAAATTCGACAACAGTCGACCTCCCCCATTGAATAACTTGTCTCTTAACTGAGAAGCTATCGTCGCGTGTTGTACGCTCATCTCTGGCTGTTGTGTTATTCGAATTGACTGGAGATGATTGTTCGGCATGATATCTTGGTCTCGATGGTCGATGCAACGTCCAGCCCTGACGTGCCAGTTGAATGAACGACTGTATGAGCCCCAAATGTTCACGAGTGTATGAAACAGGAATGCCCATCCAACGTCGCCCGACAACAGCTATGAGTTTTCCAGCTCGTATTGCTGTGTTTAAAACAACCAGCAAATTAAGCAAAAAGAAAGAAGCAAGAAGAACATCATCTACAGACGGATAAAGTAAACGTAAATACAACTCCAAATTAGGATAGCTCAGATATTCACCCGGTTGCTTTCCGAATCCAAGACATTTTGCTTCGGGTGTAACAATGAGATATGTCAAATTTTCGGGACATTCCAATGAATTCAACAATTCTGTTATGGACAAAGCAGACGATGTGGGGGCAGGCCAGTGATTCAGACCCGAAATGCGATGAGAGGCAGTATCCATATGGCTAGATGGTATTGATTCACTAATCCAAAATCGAACACGACCTGTGAAAGGAACGGAAAGTGCTGATAGGACAAGCGGTGGATGTTGGTGGACCAATGCAGAGCCCGTAGTTTGATCGCCAACAGATGTTCGGTTGTAAAACCAGATTACGTGGATGGGTTTTGGTCTCTCAGTCAACCAGGGAATCCAGCGTTTAGTTACACCGCCTTTTTCACCAACAGACTTCGACCAATCAACGGAGGATGGAACAACATCGTCCACGACAGAAACGAGTCTAACGCGCTCCGCCAAAACTCCGGCAATCCAGTTGTGAATCTGATGTAACACGATATCCGTGACGATAGGTGAAGGATTAGAAGCAAACTGCTTTGGAAAGGCGCGATACTGAACAGAATCCTTCATGCGATCCCCACCTTTGGGTAAAGCTAAGATGAGATCCGCAGCAACCAAACCACGCTCGTGACACAGGCTGCAAAGGGAAGAAAGAAATAGAAGATCAAAGACAGTGTGTGGTAAAAAAAGCAAAGAGCAATGTAACCATAAATAGTTATTAGCGAAGTAATAAAACTGAAACATTTAGATACTAAAATGAATTGAGAAAGCAAGTCAGACAAACACTGCGAGAGGAATTCCTTTCGTGGACTCTCATCAGTCGCTCACACAGAACATTAAACAAGATCAGCAAATGAAGTGAATTAGGAAATCTAGTTGGTTTTATCGTGTTTGTGTGTTTGTGCACGTTTGTGCGTGTGATGCACATGACTGGTTACAGCCAGGGAAGGTCAAGCGTAAAGGCTATACACTTTTGGGCACAACGTAGATTTGTGGTGAGTGATCCATAATGAATCGAGTATCCTTAGTCAATGTCGCAGTAACGTAACAGAACCGAGAACGCGTTCGCCAGGTCTAGCTTGTGACCGCATTCAACCAAGTAGCGCGCGACGGGTCGGTCTACGTGATGCAGCCAAACTCTGCGGTGTAGGCTGTCAGTGATTCACGCACGCATTTAGGGATGTGTTCAGCTATTCTGACTCGCGGTGATCGATCGATTCTACCAATGTATGCTTCGGTGCTGCTGCAACAGAAGGCGTAAACGCAATCGGACAAAGACCCGACTGAGCGGCAATTTTCGAATGGGGGAAGAAGCATAGAAGGTTCACTAGAAAGCTTTTTTATAAGCTGCGTGATAATCTGATACACATAGAGTTGGATGGACTCCTCTTCGCGGCGTTTTCGATAAACATCAAGAAATGCGATCTGGTTTCCACTTTCCTCCTCTAGAGCAAACTTAATATTTGTATGCTCACAGTTAATGGTTGCCAGTAGCTAAATGGGGTTACCAACTCTGTCCACAAAACGCGGTACATCATAGGCATAAATTTCATACAGTTTGCATCCTTAAATCGAAGCTTTCAATGCGACGTCCTCTAGGATTCCCGTAAAGAAGCTCGACATTTCGCCCATATGACGGTGAGTAGCATCGTTGAAATTAAATTGCTCATTATATGTACGAGGGTAGGCAAACCCTGACCATGGGACTGGGTCACATGGGTCCCGTCAAGCTGGGGACCTCGGGATGATTATACCTGATGGTTAGAGACACTGAGTGATATGGCTGAGTGTTCTCAACAGTGGCGTTCGTGCATCTTCTCAATCTCTTTGCAACCTTAGACCATTGAAATTCTCCATTCGTTGCTCGAATCTACTTTCAACGTTCCTGTGTTCCCCCAATCTTCATCCAAATGGCCAACTGAAAGCGGCAATCGGGGCCGCCGCACGAAGGTGCATGGTTAACAGTTATAAAAAACAGGAATTAAAACTATATATATGTATATGTATGTATGAATGTATATACGCATGTATGTATGTATGTATGTATGTATGTATGTGTGTATGTATGTATGTATGTATGTATGTATGTATGTATGTTTGTTTGTATGTATGTATGTATGTATGTATGTGTGTATGTATGTATGTATGTATGTATGTATGTATGTATGTATGTATGTATGTACTGTTGTTTATATCCCTTCTGTGCACAAGATTAACGAATTGTTGCTGATCTTATAGGGGAATTTATTCATCGCAAATGTGTTCCATTTAGAATCGCTGTTCTCTATCCAGCTTGACATATCACTGTCAGTTTATTTGATCAGTACGTAGTAATGATACTGACCGTTATGTTATTCCTTCGCTTCTGCCTCCGCTCCTCAGAAATTGCTCCGCAGTCGCTATATAAACGCTGAGGGCCACTGTACGCTTCGATTTCAGTTTTTACAACCATGAATTATGCATTATAGTGCGCCGGTTTTCGTTGCTGTCTGTTGGCTGTCCGTCTGGATAAAACAGCAGAATAAAGTTTGGAATGTTGAGAAGATTGAGAATTCATATGAACTGATCTTGCAAGAATAATGAGTTGATGTACGAATGCCACTGTTTGCGACACTCAGCTATATCACTGAGTGTCTCTAAGCTCTGGTTACCATGGTTTCGGGGACCCCATCCAAGGAGCCTAAAAGGGAACTACGGGACGCGTTCTATTCAACAGGTTTTCATTCCATCCTGCCAGGCATATTTTACCACCCTTGTTTTTTTCCGCCCATTACCTGCCTCGGTAAGCATAGCGCGCCATGAAAACTTATTTCAACATCACCATCGTAAAGCGAGATATAGTGAAGCGAACTTCACTGACCGCTGCCAAACTCACAATGCATACAAGGTTAGTGGTAAA